TGAGCAAGTATTTTCATGAACAAATATGTTTAAATTGCATCTTTCGACCATGCTTAGATACTGCGATGATTTATGGTTGGGAATTCTTTCAACAATGTAAATGCAGAGATCTTCCCACACCGCTTCAAAAATTATTAAAGAAATGTTATTCGTATTTTGTTGAATATATTTGTTGGCAACATTTCCTACTGGTATTACTTATGACGATTCCTTATTTAGCAGAGTATGTTCCGTGTTATTCTTGGTTTTTATTAGTGGAAAACGACATCTTTACGAGAATTTTTATCTTAATTTTTATTTTTACTGCCACATCCACTTTTAGCATTTTAAAAAGGTTTAAAATAAATCCTACGATAAAATTAAGAACAGCAGGATATTTTAATGTAGAACAGATACGAACCATTGTTCACTATTGTACATTATTTACTTTATCAACAATGATAATTACAATAATTGTATTTCAATTTATCAACGTTATGTTCCTATACAGGGCAACAGAAAGTGTACAGAAGTACAAATACGAAGCGTTTGTTTGCAGTGTAGAAGTTGGAATTTCCATTAGCTTAATGATAACAGGAATATTTCATTTTGTATTATTCTCTTTCCTTTTGGCAGCCGTTATAATGACAGGATTCTAGAGAGTGGCGGAAGATTTGTTCTTATTAAAAAAAAGCAATCACAACATTCGCACAGAACTGGAAGAAATAATGCTACAACATGCAGAAATATGGGCATTCACTAATCAGATAAATACCACACTTAGTCTTGAGTATGCTATATTATATGCCGCTCTTATATCAGAGACAAGTCTCGTGTATTACGTTTTTTTCTTTACTGAAATGAATTTGATACTTCGAATCGTCTTCTTCGTTCTGATTATTGCAGTTTCATTGGTTTGCATTATAGGGGGTTTCGCAGCATCTATATTAACAGCGACGGTAAGTCTGCGATCTGTAAGTAATGATATCAGTTTTTGATATTATATAAACAACTGTAAATTTATTTACATTTTTTATATAATTAAATCTTTGTATATCTTTGTTTGAGTATTTCTAAAAAAATTATAAAATCTTGCAGATGCAAAATACCTTTCAAGACATCAGAAGATTCGCATAAATTTTAGAACTTTTTGGAATAAATGAACTGGCCCGGGACAGGGCTTCAACCCGCAACCTCCGCTTGCCGTGCGGTGTTCTTTTATTCCGGAAGGTTCTAAAATTTATTTAATAATTTATTTATTTAATTTTAATTATTAATTTACTTAAGAGATGGCGCCTAACGCCTACCTTTAATGTCAAATTACTTTATTCCAATCATTTAATTAGCCATATTATAGCCCGATATTTAGGCGATCGTTTGGTAATTTATTATATACTATTCGGGCTTTGAGTTGTTGTTCTTTGTATATCTTTGTTTGAGTATTTTTTAAAAAATTATAAAATCTTGCAGATGCAAAATACCTTTCAAGACATCAGAAGATTCGCAGACTGTGAATTGGAATTGGAACAGAAATTAAAAGTTAGTATTTTTCTACGTATTCCTGAATTTTATATATGTATATGTATGTATGTATGTATATATATATATATATTGTAACTATAACAGTTTATAATTTATTCCAATCGTAAATTCGAAATAGCAGAACATAGGGTACATTGCACAAATGAAAAATTCTTGTCGTTCGTCCGAATTCGAATTTAAGTATTTCAGAGCGTTAGGCTGACTCCTTATTTACCTGAGTCTCCAACTATGTTATTTTTAAACTATCAAATACTATATCAAGGTTTTAAAATATTTCTAATTTTTTTTACAGATTTTAAACTTTATGAAAAGATTTGGAAAGATATCTTTATGCTTTTCAATAAGAAATTATTTCTTTATCACAAAAAAGTTTCCAATAAAGGTTCAAACATTTTCTATTAATTTAAATAAAGAATATATCTTTAGATGTACATGTTTAACTTAAGATCTATTATCATTTTTCAGATGGCCAACGCACTGAACTCTGTATTTTCAAGTCTTATGAACATTCGCAAGTACAAGACGTCGTAATTGAAATTGATAACATTTAAATAAATTCATAAATTACTCAAATAAAGTGATATTCCAGTTAACATTTAGTTTATGTTATACATAGAATCTTTAATAAAATAGAGATAAACGGAATTATTTTAATGTTACGAGAACGGGAGAGATGAAATAATTGACGATATTCCAAAAGGAGTGCCTCGTGAAAACAATTTTAATGGAAAACTGTTGGAAATTTCAAGTGTTATGCATATGAATTAGTAACTGTAAATTAGTTCATGTTTAGTTATTTAATTAGGTTATGGTTTCGTGATATTATTCAGCTGCTAACACCTGAATTATACCATGATAACATGTTATACACCTAATTAGTAACAGTTCCTCATGGAGCTAACTTCAGCGGACTTCAGTGTTTTCTCCAATTGATGAATAGCTTTAGAGAGAGACTCATAATATGGGACATTTAATGAAAATTGTTTCATAATTACCTATAATTACCTGTCATTTAAATACTTTTCCTGTGGATTTTAAATACCGCTAAGCCAGGAAACAAAACGTATTATGAAAGCGAAAAAACGAATAAACAGATCGTCTGTTAATCAGATGTGAAAAAAGAAAAAAACCAAGCAACGAGTTGCGTGACTGTCCCGGCTTTTATGAAATTTTATTTAAAAAATAACTTTTGTATTATTAATCAAAATAAATAAATAAATTTGTAAGTTGAGCAATCTGTTGTATGCTTTTGTTATAAAAACTTTATTAACTTTTATATTAATTAACAATACATAAATAGTAAAACACAAATTTAGGGTAGAGACGAGTTTTATGAAACATTGTAAATGTTAACAAGTGACGTTTTCATTTTCCACCCCAGGCGACATACTATACGTGACCACTCTTTCTCTCCATTTCCTTGACTGTGATAACCAAAATTTAATAGCATCTTGCCACTTATAGACAAGATAGCGTGCTAAATTACGTTTCTGAATCTTCGTCTAATCCTAAGACAATAAACGAAATGAAAGTTTTTTGCTCTTTTAGGTTCCAGTGCTTTCAAATCGTGAAGATTTGAGAATTCTCGAAATGTCAACTTTGACACGATTTTAAAGATTTTCCCTTGTTATGTATACATAACAACCCGGAAAGTAAAAGTAATTATGAATATCTTCCTAATCTAAAAATTTTATTTATAGCTTTACAATGAAAAGGTGTTAATAATCACAGAACCACACAAACCATTTCTATATTTGGATTTATTTGAGACAAAAAACCAGCTAAAAACATTAATTTATATGAACAGTTATATTTCTTTAGCTTCATAAAGACAAACGTATGTTGTCTCTACTTATGAAAATACAGTCTTTACTGAAAGAAACTCACGTGTAAAGATCACCAACGTTTTCCCATTATTGAAGGTTCATCAGTAAAAAAAAAAACTGGAAACAATTTTAAAAATTATTTGACAAATCCACAGTAATATGGTTTTTGTCAAACAATTTTTAAATCGTTTATAGATGTAAAACCATAGTGATATGAATAGTAATTACATACTATTATTACCGATGCTGACACATTATGTGTATTGTTCTCTCGGAGCATGTTCAGCTGCCCATCAGGTAGGTATAATTAAAAACACTATAGTAGTTACAAGACGATTGCTATAAACTTCAATATGTCGATAATAAGTATCGATACTCTTGTAACCCATCTCTGTTTGCCTTATTAAATAACAAGTAACATGTTTTCCTGTGTTTTTGTTACTAAGCATTGAATTCAGAAAGTAGTTTGGAAATCAATTTTGAAAGGGATTGAACACTTAAAATATTTATAACAAGTTACTGTCATAATAACTGTAAAGATAAAATTGATTTGCTTACCCACAATATGTGCAGCCGGGATGAAAATATAAAAAATGAAGTGTTGTCTTACGTTAGATTACATCCGCCACAATTATTCATAATTCAGAATCAACATTATGGAAAAAATATTAAATCAATAAGTATATATACGAATAATTGGTATAAATATATAACATATATGCAATAAGTAAAAACATTTTTTAAACTAAAGAGTTCAAGTATGTTTCTATCGTGTTCTTACTGCATATGAACGTGCTTTCATATATTTTACGATTACATGAACATTTTTACACGACGTTTTTATAGTTCTGTACGAATTACAGAAAACCTTATAGATATGAACAACGAACAGATGTACAGTACAATAAACATTGTATATCAACAATATAAGATTTGGAAGATTGCAGTTTACATACTTGATCTTTAGCTACTGTAGAAAGAATGAATATGCAACGAAGAAAAACACAGCACAACGCTCTCTTTCTAAAAGTTAGTTAGATCTCAACGTTAGTTCCTATCAGTTGTTTTCATTGATCATTCTTACTACTACTTTGTCAGAGAAAAGCCTGGCCCATCTGGAACAGACCATCCATATAAAATTTACACTTGAGGTAAACTAAACTCCGATTTCCAAGACAATGGGCTGAAGGCTACTCCCACAGCTATGTAATTATCACAAGAACTTAAAAATAAAACTCGAATACTATTGTTTTCCATTATATTAATATTATAAGAAATTTCTTATTACGCAATTAATATTAGCTCTTGTAAGATAATTTAAAACAGTCAAAGTAAAAAATGTCTTTCAAAAAGCATATTTTTTGTGGCATTCATTAAACCATTTGCTAATTGTTCTTTGTAAGTTTTACAAAAAATATTTTGTAAATTTTATATTAAAAAAGAATTTATTAAATCAATCTAAAATAGATACAAAAAGCATATTTTAAAATTTCGTAACGAGAAACACAAAATACTGCAAATTAACATTTGTCACATTTAAATTGATCTTTTCTTAATCTTCAAGAACATACCTTTTTTTCATTTTATCTTTGTTTAAATGCAATTAAAATGGTAAAGATATTTTAAGTGTAGTGAAATCATTCATTAGAATGTCTGCGAGTGTAATATAAATCTAACAATAGAATTTCTGTTTTATACAAAAATTGTGCAAAGGAGAAAAATTGTAAATTTTTATCACTTCGAATCCATTGTTCCCTCTATACCCTAGAAAGAGACATAAATATACGGGTGTTAAAACGATAAGTCAAATTATTACAAAATATACAGTCCAACGTCGATTTAGCTCCAGCTTTGAAACGGGCACTAAATTATATGTGATTATGAACTGAATACCATCAAAAAGGAAAAGTTATATATACTAATGAGGGATAAACAGGTTTTACTTTGTGTTTAAATTGACGTAACTTGGTGATATTTAAAACAGACGAGTTATGTCTTTAGTGTTTATAGAATAGATCCTTTCATTAGGATTCGTTGGCGTTTTATAATAGTAGAGCTATTCATAATGAAGCTATATTGAGGTTAGACTGTATATTTCAATAGAAAAGAGATGGTTACCAAAACTGTGTATATCCAGACATCGAACTCGTTAGGGCCATTTTCTCTCCATTTCGCAAGAAATTGGCGTACTTTATATAAAATATTAATTGACCAGGTATCTAAAATTAGACATTGATACGGATCAAAGTAACGAAAATCGATTTTCAACACGTCGTGAATGTTTATGCATTCGAGAATTGCTGCCATAATCACTCCTCTCGATACACAATCATAACGTAATAGATCCTTTCAAAATAAAAAGCTTAATTAATTAGTTTTTCAAAAAATGTAAATTTTATACAAAAATGTCAATTAACTTACCTCTCCCTCGTCATTAATAAAAGGGCTCTCAGATTGGTATCTCTCAATCCATCTTACATATGACTGAAAACAGTTGTACTTGAAACGATCTATAATACCCATTTCATAGTGTACAACAGGTATCTAAACAAATTAACTAATGTTAATCCTGAAGAAAAATGTTCTATGTATCTTATAATTTACACGAGATTCTACAGTAAAACTTACTCCAGGTTCATTATCAGTAACTATTCCTCTTTTTATATAAGGAATCATATCCAGCATATACCATTTATCGTCGTGTACTCCAAATCTTATCGGTTTCAATCCACGTCTGTATAACCTTTCTAGATCGCAATATCTGCATCTTTTTGCAGGATCATTTGTAGAAAGACACGATCCCATATATGCACGACAAATGTAACACCTTCTTTCTCGAATTGCTTTCACGAACAATCTTGTACAACGTCTACAAGCGGGTGCACCATAATAATCCGACCAAGATGGGTGGCGACAACTCACGCAAACTGACACGATGTTTCCACCTTTACTCAAAAAAAATGTTTATATTTTGTTGAATATTCTCATTACATTTACCTTCAATAACACGTCATTTATCTCTTAATTATCTAGCAATGATAACACATAAACGTGTTATTCGATAAGGAAAAAAAATTCATAAACTTTTATAGTTGAACAAATTGCTAATTATTACCTCTATCGGATCTGAATTCTCTAACCTGCTCCAAAGTAGCCATTATCAGGAAATTTATCAATTACTACTTCAAAAAAATTCAAAGCAGTCGAGTTTCTTTTAATCTCAGTAAGACAACGGTTCATTTGCATAAACTTACCTTGCATGTTTCAAAAATTCAAACATATTGTCGATAAAACATTTGATAATGTATTATAAATTACTCTTTGATTATTAAATTTATAATTTTATAAGTCGCTCCACGGAGTAATGAATTACTATAATGACTTATTGTGCCAGCTGAGTGCTTTATTAATAAAATAAAGTTGGTAATAATTGTCTGAAACATTAGACTTTTATTCTAGTTTTGCATAATTTATGACTAGTTTTAATATTATGTTAGAAAAGTTTCAAATTTCTCTTAATGAATTAGGACGAATGAAAATATGCATTATAGCAATCTATGCTAGATTATTACGACACTGCTTCTTACGGGCCAAAAGATCTCTATATAAGGATCGTGAAGGTATCTGTTGCTCATGCCGTTAGTTCATTCAGTGCTACTCAAAATGGTTCTCTCCTACTTCTTATTTTTCCAATTCTTAATGATCGTTTATCAGATTTCTCTTATTATCGAGAAAATATAAGTAATTGCGGTTTTTACCGGCGTAATATTTCCGACTATTCTTGCAGTATTTTATTACATTGCGGGATACGGTCCTCAATACCTCGAAGACTTTTCTCTAAACTAGCCAAATTAGCTACAAATGCGCTTATATTAAAAAAAACAACATATTTTGTTACAACAAATGCAAAATATCTTTAAAGATGATTTAACTTACCTGTATTATAAATGAACCATGCAGCACGAAAATCGTGCTCCCACATATAGACACAATAATATCCAAACAAAGAAAATCCTTTCAGTGTATTTTTGCATTTCTTGATGTTTGGAGGTTTCTGAGTTACAAAATATAAAAATCTTGTAGGGCATATTTGACAGATTGTCATATTTGTCCTCTGTTATTTATAACAGAGGGAAAGTGAAAATTAATTTCTGTTGGTTTGTCCTTTATACAAATATTTACTGTTAAACCGATCTGAACCAAAGTTTAGATGTATTCAATTGAATGGAAAAATAAAGCTACCGCACCCCCACACATTGGTTTGAGTTACAGAAAAAGTTTACTTGACTGGAATTAACAGCATACTTTCGGCAGTGTTTCCAAATGAAGAAGAAGATCCCGTTTTGTTTGATATCGGAAAAAGACGTGATTAATAGTGTATGTGAGCGGATTAATCCAAGTCTACCTCGCATGTAATTGGAAAATGTATCAAGAAATATTCTTGCGAATTTCAAGTGAAAACTCAAACCGGAAACGTCTCGATGGCTCCACCTGAATCTAAGAAGAAAACCAAAATATGAGGTTTTTCCACAACAATGAGAGTGAAAACTAACAGTGTATATACGGAAATAGAAGTGAACAACAAACGGATTGCTCCCTACTTGCCTCTGTTTTCAAAAGTGATTTAATAGAAGCGTTATATCATTACGGAAACGGGTAGCACATAGTACTTACGTGGGGGTGCCGAAAGTGTGTTCACTGTGTACTCACTGTGAAAACTCTACAAATAATATAGTTGTCTATATAAAATGATATATATGTTATGGACTAAGCGATTTTTTTGGGCATTACAAATAATGTCCTATTAATAACATGGTGCATAACAAATATATTCTATATAATGTATGTGATTCTATACATATAAAATTGCTTGTCCTGATTGACTGAATGACTCACTGATTCATCATCGCCCAGAGCAAACCGCTTAACCTAAAGAGGTGAAATTTGGTACAAAGTTAGGGTACGTCATGAAAACGAACACTAAGAAGGGATTTTTCGAAATTTTTCCGCGCGGGGGAGAGAGAGAGAGCATTAAGGTTTAACCGAAAGAACAGCTTTTACTGTACTATTTTACATGCGATATTTGTTACGTTTAGTCTTCATTATTACTTAAGTGTATTAAATTAATAGCATTTCAGACATTGTTATAAACATTTTTATATATTTCGATTTTTTAACCAAATGTTCGAACCTTTTTAAATTCGAATTTGTTATTGCGTATTGGTTGGATTATAGAACGATTGTAAACGTTCCAGAAAATTGATAAAATTGAAAATAGTTCGTTTGATTCTCGGCAATTCTCATCATTCTCGGCGGTAGGTGTTATATAACAATTACTATGGTTGTTGAAATACTGGATATAAATGAGGGTTGCTTGCAAAATCCGCGCGGGTAAAGCCGCGGGTAACAGCTATTATAATAAACATGTGAAAAGTATTTTTTTAATGCTAGGAAAGTCAAATTGTTACACCGAAAAACACGAATATATTTTATTTTGAGATTGAAGAGTATTTTCGTAAAATTAAAAATTTAATTTGTTTTGAATTTTTGTTTTTGAACCCTGGCAACTCTGGGTACATAAGATATAGCTTATGTACAGAAGATAAGCCATATCTTATGTACCCAGAGTTGCCAGGGTTTAATAAACATATATATATATTTGTTTATTAATAATATATATATGTTACCGCTAAAGCTCGAAACTCGTTAATCTGCAGATTAACTAGCGTGATCCGTTAAAGTTGTGAAAATTGTTTCATTTCCCAAATTACCTAGATAATGTGCAGAGTATCTAGGTAATCCGCACATTACCTACTAGGCACTCGGTAAAGTGAAAATAAGATCTTTGCCACAAATAAATGTACCACAAATAGGTGTGCTTGTCGCAAAAACCAATTGCTATGAAATTCAAAGTGTCACCAATCTTTAGACTGCACTA